ATTGTGAACTGTGCCACAATCAACATTGGAGCACAGATGACTGCTTGTATTTTATTTCTTATCTCTTCTGAGCATATGCCCAGTAGAGAGATGGCTGGGTCATAAGGTAGGTCAATTTCCATTTTCTTTAAGTATCACCAGATCACTTTCCACAGTGGTTGTACATATCTACATGACCACCAGCAGTGGAGACGGATTCCTATTTTACCACATCCCCTCCAACATTTGTTGGGCTCTGATTTTCTGATTTAGGCTAACCTCAGGGGTGCTAGATGGTATCTCATGGTTGTTTTAATTTGCACTTCTCTTTGACTAATGAACGGGGACACTTTCTCATGTGTTTGTTGGCCATACAGTTCCCCTCCCTAGTGAAAATTCTTTTCAGTTATTTTGCCCACTTCCTTAGGGGGTTGACTGTTTTCTTCTTTTTGCAGGCCATGAGGGTATTGTAGATTTTAGTAATAAGCCCTTTGTCTGATGTGTCATTACTAAAAATCCTCTCCCAGTCTGTGGGTTGCCTTGTTACCCTCTTGGTGAAGTCTTTTGAGGCGCACAGGTATTTTATTCTTATTAAATCCCATTTGTCGATTTCCACTTCACCTGTGTGTGTATCCTTCCCTATTGCAGCAAGCCTATGAATTCCCTGAGCCAATGATCTTAGGTTTCTCCCAATTCCTTCCTTGAAGGTACTGATGGTTTAGGGTTTTACATCTAGGTCTGTGATCCACCATGAGTTTGTTCTTGTGCATGGGGTTTCACTTTTCTACATGTGGCTATTCATTGTTTCCAGCACCACTCGTTAAAAAGGGCATCTGCTTCCCACTGGATGTTTTTGAGACCCTTAAATTCTGGGCTTCTTCCCTCTCCATATGAAATTGGTAGTCAGTATTTCCAATTCTTTGAAGAAGGTTGCTGGTATTTGAATCGGAATAGTGTTAACTTATAAAGTGCTTTGGGTAAGAGTGACATCTTTACTATGTTGAGCCTTCCAATCCATGAGCATGGGATGTCCTTCCATTTGTGGAGGTTGCTTTTGATTTCCTGTAGTAGGATCTTGACCTGAACCCCTCCCCCCTTTTTTTGAGCTTATCTCAGTGGACTTATGTTGTACTTGTCCTTTTGTGCTTGTCTTATTTCACTTAGCATGATTTCCTCCAGTTCTTCCCATTCGGCAACATTCATAATCTTAATTACATCTAGCTTTTGGATATGGTCATCTTTGAGAAAACCTTTTTGTTCATTCCCTTGAGAGCCAGAGAGATATTATATGTACCAGGAAATTTTCTTTCACTGCTTTGGAATGTTGTCAATTTCTCTTTTTCTCCAAAATTATCCAGTAATCTGCTATCATTGAACTCACTAAACTGTGATATTTCATTAGGAGTCTTCCAAACTCGATGATGAGTTAATATATGCAGTAGTTATTTACTTTTAGGGAGCCCTGGTGGCATAGTGGTTACACATGGGGCTGCGATCTTCAAGGTCAGCAGTTTGAAACCACCAGCCACTTTCTGAGTGAAACAAGGGGCTTTTACTCCTATAAACAGTTACAGTCTCGGAAAATCACAGGGGCAGTTCTATCTTGTACTATAGGGTCACTATGAGTCAGTATTGACTCGGTGGCAGTGAGTTTGAGTTGAGTTATTCACTTTTATATCCTCATAACTAACGTAGTTCCTAATATTTAATTACTGTCTGTGCTACACTTTATATCATATACTATCATTATATGCACAGTATATATGTATATACTATCATATGTACCTTATATCATATACTATGAAGGTAGGGTTTGTGACTTTAAATGTAAAGCTCACTATTTTATTTTTTTGTTTATGTTTGTGTGGAAAAACTTATCTAGAAAGGCTTATAGCAATGGAATAATGGGCCACAATTCTGATCAGTTCATATTGCTTACTTAGACTCAGGAAATTTCTTCAATACGTGCTTCAGTATGCTCCCAGTGTTTCCATAACTCTGTGAAGGATATTTTTCAGCTTAATACAGCTTCATTGAGCTGTACTAAGTGCTCATTGAATGGATAATCCAAGATAGCTACCCAACAGAAGAAACAATGTTAGCTATTTGTAAATGACTTTAAAAAAAAATTCAAATAAAAAAAAAGAGGATCAAAGAGTGTAATGAGTGACATATTTAGTTCACTGATCTGACTTACCTATAAGTGATATTTTTGAAAACCTGTTTACCTTTTCAGCCTGGTTAATCCTAGGCAAACATTAGGGGTCATAGAGATTATTTCTAAGATTGACATTTTTCACTTCCATCCCTGATGTAGCTCAAGTGGTAACTGCCTTCTAGATATAGCAGCTAGAGTTTCTTCTAGTGAAATAAATTGGTACAGAAAGTCTATGCATTTACTTTCATTGGTGCTTTTCTGATTTTGATCTATATCTATTCCTAGTTGTTCAGCTTTTAGAAGTCAAAGTACCAAACTTAAACATAAGCACAAATAGCCATCCAGTGCTTTCTATTAACCTATAGGCTAAATAGTTTGCATGTATAATGTCATTTAATTACCTCAATCATTTTAGGATGTGAGGATGATTGGGTGTCAGGATCAGACTTACCTGATAGGGGGAAAATGAAGCTATATGTAGGCTAGAAACTTCTAAGGCAAATAGTACAGCCAAGATTCAAACTGAGGTCCATCTGGCTTTCACCAGGTAAACTTTGTTTATTACCCATCATATCTCTGTAGTACGGGCTCAGTAAAGATCTTTGGAGAATGCAGCACACTGCTATGTTTTCAACAGCTTCTTACAAATATGTTATATAATTACCCTGGCTTTATGGACAGCCACAATTTACCAGTGCTTCTTTTATGTTAGAGTTATATTTATATATGATCTAAGTGGGAATTTTACATGTTATAATACTTTTGAATGTTGAGATTCATTTTATAGGATTTAAGCACTCCTCATGGAGTGCCATTTTACTTCTCCTGGAGTGATTAAATATTCTTGTGTGTGTAAGCCATCAGCATAGGGTAGAAAAGACATGACACCAAGTTAGAAGTCTTGGAGTTAAATACCATTTAAACTGTTAAATACTCCTGGCAAACTGAACAAGTTTTATATATCTCTTTCCCTTCTCTAGGCTCAAAAGCATTGTAAAATACAATGCTTTCTCAGATCCCTTCAGCTTCTGATAAAACCTGCTCCTCCAATAACCCTGGACCCTTGTCCGTGAGGAATTTAGCAGGCAGAGAGGAGTGGAGCCTCTACATATTCCCAGCAGTCCATGACCACTGAGCTGAAATAAGCTCAGGGGACTTCTCAAAGACAGTCTTAAATAGTTCAAGTCAGGAAGCTTGAGCAAAATAATTAGGGACTATGGGCAGGGCATGCAGGGCCTCTGGTTCTTCTCTCCCTCTCTGCACCTTCCATGCATGAAGCTATCTCAGGTAGGTAAAATGACATGCCAGACCCTAGGACATTCTGTTCTGACCTTTTGAATCCTGGGTGCTATGATATGACAATCAGAAGGGGGGAATTTTGTCCCCAATATGAGTACTTCCCCTCCTCTTGACTCGTATGCCTTCTTCTTATTATTTTGCTTGTTTATTTCTTTGAGATAAACTTGATTGTTGGGACCTTTACGTACAGAAATTGGATTTGAATCTTTGGAAGCAGTTAAGGTTACTAAGCGGAGCAATGCCATTCATATACTTGCTTTTAAAAACGATCGTTCCTGCTCCAGATTAGAGAAGTGACTGGGCTGAGGCAGGAGGTGTGTGAAGAGGATGTTGTTATGTCACGGGAACACATTATCTTGGATCTGAAGTATAACATGAACGTAGAAAAATAAAGAGCAAGGTGTTGACAGAAGTACATTGCATCGTTTGTTAACATGCTTTGATGTAATAATAAAGCTGAAGAAGGCAAAGTGATGTTTGGAATTTGAGTTTTAATCTTCAATAAGATAATAAAAGAACACAGATGTGGCCTTTTAATGTAATTATAGGGAACACATGTGAGAAACAGTTTTAAATTAAAAGGAAATTAGTGCATTTGGGGTACTATTTTGTTGTGGGGAAAAATCCTGGAAATGACTTGGTAGCAAATTGTTTGAGTAGCCATTGGTTGCCATGAGCTAATTATACAGTAATAAAAAAAGTAAAAAAAGAAAGAAAAATAATAACCAACCAAGTCAGCTCCATATCATCGCGACCCCATGAGTGTCTGAGTAAAATGGTGTTCCATAGGGTTTCAGTGACTGAATTTTCATAAGTGGAAGTGGATCCAGATTTTTCTTTTGTGGCACCTCTGGATGGACTTGAAGTCTGAGAACTAGCAAATGAGTAAGTTAACTATTTGCATAACCTGGGAGCCCCTGAAGAATGAAAAGGTAAGTGGAATTGGGATGTGAGTTGGAATTGATTTGATTGTACATATCAACAAGAGTATGTGCCTTAATGTCAGGAAAATTGTCTTTAAGAAGGCATATCTTGTTATCTATTTTTTTTCTGGATAAATGGCTGAAATAAATGAAAGACCAACAAGAACTAAAGAAACTAGGAAGTCACGATAAGGTGGTAGAGGTTCAGTAGAATGAGAGAATGAATTCAGAAAGTGTTCATGGTGTAGTGGATACATGTTTGGACTGTTGAGGTGCATCATATTTGAAGGGGTAATGATCAGAAGAGTTTTGTCTTAAGTCTGAAACAGTTATACCTATTGATTGATTAAAAAGTGTTTCATATCTTTAAATATGAGGAAAAGTATGATGATATCAGATACAGGTGTAAAGGAAAGCAAAGTGACCTATCTAGCTAACTGGATGAACTGAGAAAGCTTTGCAATTTCTGAAATCTTTGACAGGGGAGCAATAATGAGTGATTAAGGAAATAAAATATTCTATTTTTCAAGAGTGGGAAACTGAGTGATATAGTATTAAGATATTAGGCGGAGGCCATGGATAAAATTGTGTTTGTCTTCTTTACAGAATAGTGGTCCTCGAATCTAAGTAGGAGTTCCATCATGGACGATCACCCGCCGAACGGCTCAAGGGTTCCCTCTTTCACGCTAACAGGCCTTCCAGAGCTGGAGACCTCCCAACACTGGATGTTTCTGCTGCTGGGTGTCCTCTACATTGTCTCCATTGTGGGAAATGCCCTGATTCTCTTCATCATCAAAGAGGAGCAAAGCTTGCACCAACCTATGTACTATTTTCTGTCCCTACTGTCAATCAATGACCTAGGTGTGTCTTTTTCCACCCTGCCAACTGTGCTGGCCACATTTTGTTTCCATGTAAGGGAGATCAATTTTGATTCGTGCATGGCTCAAATGTTCTTTATCCACCTCTTCTCCTTCATGGAGTCTGGGATCCTACTGGCCATGAGCGTTGACCGCTATGTGGCCATCTGCAACCCCCTCCGGTATGCCACAGTGCTCACTGATGCAAGAGTGGTGCGTATGGGGCTGTCTGTTATCCTCCGCAGTTTCTGCATGGTTTTCCCACTGCCTTTTCTTTTGAAGCGGCTGCCTTTCTGTAAGGCCAATGTACTCTCCCACGCCTACTGTCTGCACCCTGACTTGATCCGCCTGCCCTGCGGTGATATCACCATCAACAATATCTTTGGTTTATTCATTGTCATCTCTACATTTGGCCTGGACTCTGCACTTATTTTTCTCTCCTACGTGCTCATCCTTCGTTCTGTTCTGGCCATTGCCTCGAAGGAGGAGCGACTGAAAACACTCAATACTTGCGTCTCCCACATTTGTGCCGTGCTCATCTTTTACGTGCCCATGGTTGGTGTGTCCATGGTTGCTCGCTATGGGAGGCATGCCCCAAAGTATGTGCACACGCTTATGTCCCTGGTCTACCTCTTTGTGCCTCCAATGCTCAACCCTGTCATCTATTCCATCAAAACCAAAGAGATTCGCCGAAGGCTTCACAAAATTCTACTGGGAAGCAAGTTTTGAGCTGGAGTTAGGTTGAAGGTCAAAGGATGTTTACAACTACACCATACATGGAATTTCCAAGACCTGCGTTGACAAGAATTTTTATATTTCCTTTTGAAAATGACCCACTATTAGGATCCCTGCCACCAAACATATGGTGAAAGCCTCGTAATAGTTAAGACTCAAGTCGATTGATTTCAGAAAGGTTAAATGGGTTATGATTTAGTGGGGGAGAGTGGGGAAGGCTTTGTTTTCTCTTTTAATAATTAAAAAGTATATAACTTGATTATCTGTCTCATTGTTTGGCCAAAATGCATTTCTTTTATCCTTGTTTAATGGCAATCATCACAAGGAAACTACTTGTTACAAAGGAAACACTATATTAATGGGCAATTGCTTCTTTCCTCAATGATTATGTTAAAATAATATTAGTCACGATCACAACATGCTGATTTGTATATCTAGATATATATGAATATATTATATATAATAAGAGAATGTGTGTGTGTGTGTGTATTTACTTTGGACATGGACATGTCATCAGGAGAGACCAGTCACAGGGGAAGGACATCATGCTTGGTAGAGTGGAGGGGCAATGAAAAAGAGGATGACCTTCCATGAGACGGACTGATACAATGGTTGCAACAATCAGCTCAAACATAAGAACAACCATGAGGGTGGCACCAGGTTGGACAGCGTTTTGTTCTATTGTGCATAGGGTGCTGTGTATGGAGCCAATTTGACAAAACCCAACAGCACCCCGACATGAGTAACGATGCTCCGAAGGATTCAGTTCACATGATGCATAGCATTCACATGGTTCTTCAAATTAAATTACAGATACATTGCATTACATTATCTAATTTTCAGTACAATGAAACTTGATATAATATCTCTTGTGGTGGAGTAAACTCCAACTTGTCACAACTCATGTGTCAGAGTAGAATGATAATCCATAGGATCCGGGGGGAAGCAGATCACTAGGCCTGTCTTTCAAGGCACTTCTCAGTATACTCAGACCATCAACCTTTTGCTTAGCAGTATAGTATGTTAATCGTTTCTGTCACCAGGTTTCTGCTTATCTTCCATAGTCTCAAACAATTTGCTTCAGCATGCTGAGCAATGTAGTTTCCTGAAACAACAGAGCTTCCCACCACCACCCCCGCACCGATATCTCTGTGTCTTTGTTTTTATAGATTCTGCTTTGAATATCTTAACTCTACACCACTCATTGAAAAATAAATGTTTAAAATATTACTGAACAGATACATGATGCTAGGCCCTGGTTCAGCTTTCTGCTGTTCACTGCCAGAAATATTTCCAGTACTTGCTTTAGTGCGTCTACTTACCTGCTTTCTCTATCTCTCACAAGGTGTCTCGGTCTCCCTCTATTGTAATTTTAAAGACTTATATTATAGCTCCTAAATATAATTCTGTACTTATCTGTTTAATTATATATAATTCTCTATGTGAAAGGAATATTTCATTATAGCATGGACTGTATGTTAACGTTAAAAAGAGTGTGAATTTTGTGGAAGGCAGACTATGGCCTTCGAAAAAACAACCCCGATACAGTTTATTCATTTGTAAAACTGGTACAAGATAACTAGATTATTACATGTTTATAACCGATCATGATAGTTAAGTTTATTGTGCTAACCTTGCCAATAGGAGCATATGGGATTGGAAAGCATAGAGATAAAGAGCTCTGCAAGGCCCACCCTTCTTTCTTGCTCTTTGGTGATCGGACCAGCGTGCTGCTGCTTTAGCTAGTTCTCTAACTCAACCTGTGAGCTTCAACACCTGTGGGCCAAGCCAACTAGTAGATCATGGGTCATGTTGCTAGAACTTGAGGCTTCTCTGAGACCTACTTCACCATGCTGCTGGTGCGTACATCACTTGAGCTTGAGGCTGGTGGATCCTGTAGTTGTGCATTGCTTGAGTTTGATATCCCATCCTGGCTTGCTTCACTAAGCTCCTGAGCAACTGACTTTTGCCAACCCACCTTGATGTTTGCCTGTCTTGCCCGAGGGAGTACTCCACAGTCTGCTTCCTTGACCTTGGACTCAGCAGCCCATGTGAGTTGAATGACTTCCAGTATATTAACTGTTCCACTAAAATGAGTTGAACTGAGCCCTCTGTACTGCTGTGTGAGCTATTTAGCTGTTATATTCCTTCTTGCTGTATAAATCTATCTACCTATCTATCTATTCTATATCATCTATACAATATAAATGCCCTGGTTTTGTTTGTCTAGAGAACTCTGCCTAACACACCAATATATGTAAGATGATTGGTACTTTGCTTGTCATATAACATTTATTCAGTAAGGAAAACTGTTTTTATAGTAATAATATTTTATCCTTGTTGTTTGGCATTATGCAAACTCAATCTTATTCACGGCGATTGAGCTGATTTTATCTCATCAAGACCTTATAGAACAAGAATAAACTGTCCCTGTGTGTTTCTGGGATTCTTAATCTTTACAGAATAGGAAAATATCATCCTCTGAAGAGTGGTGGCTGGAGGTTCCAAGTGGCTGACCTTGCAGTTAGCAGTCTAGCATGTCACCCACTCTACCGCCAAGGTTACTCTCAGAGATTTCAATGAACACTTGAGGCCTGGACAAATGAATGAATGAGACAGGAGAACTGTTATTTGCAAATTACATAATTTGTTAATCAAGAAAACACAAAAACTCCAAAAATGGAGAAAATATGTCAAATATAATTTAGGGAAACACAACTTGCAATTTTTCTAGGACTAGAAAATAATTTAATGAGAAAATATTTTAATGGATAAGAATATCAAAATATTATTGATACGTTTCAAAATAAACCTGAATGAATAGGCACAAAAGCATGTTCCTTAAGGAAATGATTGAATGAATATTTTAAGGGGTCATTTCTCAAATTAATTTAATTTATTCAGGATATTTTAAAACTTTTTAGTACAGATCAATTTTACATTTAACAACTCATACACATTTTGTTTCAATCCATCATCTACTGCAATTCCCTAAATGTACCATCTCCTACTCCACTTCCTCCTGCATTTCATTTTTATGTTCTCCTTTCTTTCCTAACCACCTGGATGATGTCCTTACATACATGCTGCCCCTCTGACCTTAAATGGTTGATTATTTTATTATAAGTATAGGTTCCCTTCCCAACCTGAAGGATGATTTGAGGGCTGTTGTCTTGAGGGGCTCACCTGTTTCTCTCAAATCAGTAAGTCTGGACTATTTTATGATTTTGAGTTTGTTGAACATTTTTTCCTACTCTATCCAGGATATGCAAATATAAATATATATTTTTTTCCCTATGAGCCCCTATTGGAAGTCTATATATGCATATCAACTGCTCCTTCCCCTCAGTATTTTTGAAATGCAGTATTTTTTTTTCAATAACAAGAACATGTAAAAATGAAACAGGAAATCATTGATATAGCAGAAATTAGGAAAATACCTCCTATTGGGGGTAGTTAACAAACACAGAAGGCTTGTTTTTTTCTGAGCATACTATCCTTCTCCTGGGACTAGGAACTGGTTTTGCATGATACCATCTGTATTTTCCATTTAGAACTTCCTAAATATCAAGCATCAGTGACCCAAATTCAAACTGGATGAAACAGATCCAGGTATGTACTGGCTCTGAAATAGAAAAATTCAAAAGTGAAAAATGGATTGAAGTGTAATTCAGAGATTGATCCAGGCTTCGGTTCTATTTACCTGTAATTTTCTTATATAACTATCTCCATTTGACTCAGACTTATGATACCTCCCCTGATGGTGTACTAACAGGCCCAACAGTATCCGCTGTAGACTTTACACCCTCTCACAAGAGTATTTGAAGAAAGCGTCTCTTTTATAGTAAGTCTTAGGGTGAAAAGTGCTTTCTTCCAATATTTCTAACAAAAGTCCCAAAATACACTTTTACTGGACCTGTTGAGGTGAGAAGCACACACCTAAAACAAGGGAAAACTTTGATCTGACATGCTTATATTTACATGACAGGCTCAACCCCTAGGTCTTGGTGGACTTCAATACCATGCAGCCACATGGCCTGAAAGTATATTTTAATATCTTTTTTCCCTATCTCCTTAAAATATCTTGACAAATATGTTAATACCCATATAATATCTTTTTATACCTCTGTACCAACATTTTACTTAATATTCCTTTTTTATCACTTTATTGGGGGCTCTTACAGCTCTTATAATAATCCATACATCAATTGTATCAATCACATTTGTGCATACGTTGCCATCATCATTTTCAAAACATTTTCTTTCTACTTGAGCCTTGTTATCGACTCCTTTTTTCCCTCCTCTCTCCCCTCCCCTCTCACCATTGTGGACCTTTGATAAATTATAAATTATTGTTATTTTCATATCTTACACTGTCCACTCTCTTCCTTCACCCAGGTTCCCATTGTTCATCCCCTTGGAGGTGGGGTGGTGGTGGTTGTTATAAGTTGATCATTGCAATTAGTTCTCCCTTTCTCCCCCAACCTCACCCTAACCCCCATAGCATCACTACTCCCTTTACTGTTCCTGTGGAGTTTATTTGTCCTGGATTCTGTGTGTTGAGAGCTCTTATTTATACTGATGTACACAATCCAGTCTAGCCAGATTTCTAAAGTAAAACTGTGTTATGATAGTGGGAGGTAGGAAGCATTAAAGAACTAGAGGGATTTTGTGTGTTTCTTCAGTGCTATACTGCACCCTGGCTGACTCGTTCCTTCCTTGAGACTCTTTTGTGAGGGAATGTCCAATTGTCTACAGGTGGGCTTTGGGTGTACACTCCAATCTTCCTTGTTCACATTGATATGCTTGTTTTGGCTCCTCTGATGCTTGATCTCTGAGCTTGTCAACACCTTGTGATTACACAGGCTGACATGCTTCTTCCATGTGGATTTGGTTGTTTTCCTGCTAGATGGCTGCTTGTTTAACTTCAAGCCTTTCACCCCAGATACTATATTGTGTAATAGCTGGGCACCATCAGTTGTCTTCACTACATT